TCTCAAAACAACTTATTTTTTCTGATTTAGGTGCTCTTTGTGGTAAACTATAAATAATAAAAAAAATACATTAAAACATATACAACACAAACAAAAATGTCAAACTTGAAAGTGTGTTTGTAAAACATAGTAAAACCAATTTGTCTTACTCTCTCTTTACGTTTTTTCTTAGGACGGCAGTATATATATATATATATATATATATATATATATATATATATATATATATATATATATATATATATATATATATATATATATATATATATATATATATATATATATATATATATATATATATATATATATATATACTGCCGTCCTAAGAAAAAACGCAGTAATCGCAAAAATTGAAAAATCGAGATTATTGCACCAAACGTTTTAACATCGTTTTCTGTGTAATAACGCTCTATATAAAAATATTGTGGTATATTCCGAAGTCATCAAACCCATAGTTCATTTTGCCGTAAGTTAAAAAAATATAGTGTAATACTTAGTAAAAACGCAGCATTATCGCAATACAAATTAAAAATGCAGTATTTGCAACGTACGTACTGCATTTTTTCATAGTATCATTGCTTTACTGCTTTTTAACTTGGCAACACAGACAAAAACGTGGGTTATCTATGACGAATACGGCGTCATTGCAACTGCAAGCGTCATCTGATTAGTGTGTGCGTTGGTTGTTCGTTCGTGTTTTCGTATTTGGTGTTTCTTTTTTTTCGGTAAAGATTATTTTTATAGTGAATTATATTTAGGACTATTCAATTTATCGTAGAATGTTATAAAAATCATAAAATGTTGTGTGATATTTGCAACACTTGGATGTCAAGGACTCAATATATGCTACATCGTGCTTCAGACAAATGTAAATCTTCATTGTTAGATGTAAGTGTTTTATTTATATATTTCCGTAGTCTCAATCTATTTTATGTATCTAAGGTTATGTGTATTGTGTTTATTGATCATAATAATAAATATTCTACAAATTTCTCAAGGTTTCACTATAAAAAATCTACAAATAACTGTGTAAATACCTAATGTATGGTTCTTCTTGGTTATGTTTTACCCTTTCTTTTACAGGATTCTAGAACAGTTGTATCTGAAGTAACTGTTGATAAAATGGAAGTCGTAGTGTATGAGGCAGAAATTATGGAGGATAGAGGAGATATTGGTAAGAATATTACGTGTTTTTTTTATTATATGATAACTTGTGTGACATTTTTTATGCAGATATACAATGCATTAAATTATCAGTTTTAGATGAGTCTGTCACAACACTTCAACCTTCAATGGACGAAGATGTCTTAAAGAGTAGAGTGGATGTGGTGGAAAATGGAGAAGAAATTGGTATATCTATTATGTATATTTTATATAACATATAAATTATATGTATAACATAGGTTGTACCGTGTTCTGTACTTAAACGAAGTAATAATTAAATTTTATCTTGTTTCAGTGTTAAAGGAATCTGTGGATAAACCATTGGACGAAGCTGCATCTCCATCGGTCCAATTTACTAAAAAGGGAACTATACGAATTCGCAGAAGTAATTCTTTAAGTGTCAAAAAAAGAAAAGAACGTAAGATGCAACTATATAAAGCAAAGTATGCACTAAAGCCAATTGTTGATTGTTGCAAAAAAAAATGCATTAGCAAAATAAATGAGGGACGACGTATTGAAATTAACGCCCAATATTTAAAATTAGGCTGGAAGGAGAGGAAGACATTTATCCTCAATACATGTGATCGCATGCCTGTAAAGAGGAAAAGTGTTGAAGATGGTGCACGAAAAAACACCTGGAAATACTTCTTCAGTAATAAAGACTCAATCAAGCAGTCCGTGTGCAAGAAGTTTTTCCTAACAACACTAGGATACAAACCAAATAATGACCGTGCAGTATTTGAGGTCCTTAACAAAACTCCAACTGCCGCAATAGCCCCATTAGCTGATGGACGTGGCAAACATGTTTCGGATAGGAAGTATAAACATGACGATTTAATAGATGCGCACATCGAATCATTTGAACCAACTGTATCTCATTACAGGAGGGAACATGCTCCTATTAGAAGATATTTGCCAAGTGATGTGACCATCACCATGATGCACAATGATTTTACACACAAATACCCAGAACAACAAATATCATACGAATATTATAGGTTAGCTATAAAGAAAAAAAATATTTCATTTGCAACTTTGGGCCATGAAGAGTGTGAATTTTGTGAAAAATTTTGTTTACACGGTCACGATGCAGATAATTTAAATAATGATTGTGATGATTGCCAACAATATATTAATCACAAGATAAGATATGAAGAAGCAAGAGAATTATACAAAAAGGATGCGGAGCTCAATGATGGCAGCATTTTCTCTGTAGATTTACAGAAAGTCATCATGCTGCCACGTTTGGATGCATTTAAAAAAGTTATATTTACAAAGAGGATAGTGGCTTACCACGAGAGTTTCGTTCTTCTTGGGAAGAAAGCACATGGTGTTCCCATGGCATGTATATGGCATGAAGGTGTAACTGGGAGGAACAAGGAGGACATTGTTAGTACATTTTATGCTTTTTTTTTGAGGCAGAGGGACTCGAAAAAGATTACACTTTGGCTCGACAATTGTTCGAGCCAAAATAAAAATTGGTGCCTTCTGTCTTTTTTAGTATATATTGTAAATAGTGATGAAGTAGATATGGATGAAATACAACTAAAATACTTTGAGCCAGGACATACATATATGAGTGCCGACAGTTTTCATCATCAGGTGGAGCTCTCCATGAAGAAACAAAAAGTTTACGATTTTCCTGATTTTTCCAAAGCTGTACAGAATGCTAATAAAGGGAAGGTGGATGTGAAAGAAATGACATTTTCAGATATATACATGTGGAAAGATAACAAATCCCAACAGAAGTTAAAGAAATCTTCTGAAAAAATATATCTGAAGAACATTGTAGCAGTGAGAACACGCAGAGGTAAATTTACAATGGAATACAAAACTTCTCATACGGAGGAGTTTACAAAACAATTAGACTTCCTCTGTAAGAAATCATCAACAAAGAAAATATCAAAACCTCCACAGTTGGACAAGCCTCGTGGGGTGGCTCAAGACAAAATCGATGATATTTTGTCGAGTTTATCGAGTTTAATGCCAGCCAGCAGGAGAATTTTCTGGAACAATTTAAAAAATATATAATTTCATTTATATTATATATTTTTTCAATGTATTTTTTTATTCTAATAAAACGTTTTAAAAAATCTAATTTACTTTATCTACCTTATACACACTTTGAATGAAGTTGACAAAATAAGAGATGGAAAGACTGATTATTAATTTGATAATGGGTAAATTGTGGTTTTTGAGCCCCTAGTGCACTCCTAACTAATGGTAAGAGAATGGTATTATTTGATATTCGTGGAAAAAATATGTTGCTGGGTTGGACTGGTTGTTATAAATATCATACTTGTTGGTTGTAAGTATTCTTTACTCAAAATTCTTCCTATTAATTAGACGCAGTCTAGCTCTATGTTATAACTCCACTATTAATTAAGGTTTGTTTGGAAACCATTGATTATCAAGCTAGATTGTGATTAACAATGCCTTTTATAAAAACACATTGATATTTATGAAAAAATATATATTGGAGTATGCATGCATTTTTGTATTGATTATACTGCGTTTTTATCTAGGATGACGGCTGTGAAATATTGTGTAAATTAGCAGTGTGTGATTTTTCAGCCTATATATTGATGTTTTGGTTAAATATAAATTTTCATTGAATAAAGGAAGTATTTTGTATTCATAATCTATGTGGCATGAAAGTCTAATTATTATATTCAAGTAAGGTTCACACAAAATTTAAAAGTGGCTTTTTCTCAGAATGTCATTTTTGTTGTTTACTGCGTTTTTACTTAGGACGGCAGTATATATATATATATATATATATATATATATATATATATATATATATATATATATATATATATATATATATATATATATATATATATATATATACATATATATATATATATATATATATATATATATAAAAGCAGAAAAAAATGCTTGTTTAATCAATAATAATTTTATTAAAAAAAAAATTTTAGTGAAAAAAATATTTGCAAAAATATACCTTAAAATCCCCGCTTTAATAAAGACGGGGGTTTTTTAATAAAAAAAACGACATTATTTTTAAAACGACATAGCTTCTTTTGAGTACCAGGTTGACATAGTTTAGAAGAAAAAAAATTTCAACAATGTTAGGATCCGTCATAAATTTAGAATCCAAAGAGGAACCATTAAAACTAATTTTAATTGAAGAAAAAAAAAAGTAAGGTTCTTTTTTCACCAAAAGACATCAATTCGCAGCTCAGGCAAATCAAATTTCAAAAATTTTCAAAATCGATCCACCCTAATATATATATATGGCTTCTTTTGATTTTTAAATTTTAAAAATGGCGTCCAAAACATAGTTTTTACATATTGGCCTTCATCAAGATTAATTCCGCCGTTTCGTGCAGAGCACATGTTGTTTTGTATTTCTAGTGGCTCTCTAATTTTTCTTTCAAACTTTTTATTTTCTACTTTTAATGTTCTTGTTTTTTCCCAAATTATATTTTCTTTGCAAAAGGTTTTATGATATGCTAATGCAGATTGATTAGGTTTGTTTTCATTAATGCTCTACTGATGTTGATGCATTCGCGTATTTACCTGCATTTTTGTTTCACCTATGTAGACCTTGGAGCAGTTGCATTTTATTATATAGGTTCCAGGGTGGCTGTCACTTGGTAGTTTTGATTTGTTTTTTGATGTTAATAAAGATCTTAAATTTGGGTTTGATTTAAATACTGCTCTGTACCCTGCTTTTCGGAATATTTTTCGAAGTTTTGGTGAAACGCCTGGTACCCATGGTAAAGACACTACAGGAAGATTATTGTATTCTGATGGAATTGTGTTTTTATTTTGTCTTTTTTGATGAAATTGGTGTGTAATATTCCTCAATAGCTTTTCATCGTACCCATTTTCATGTCAGTTAAAAAATTTATTTCATTTTGCAAATGATGCTTACTACAGATGGAGTAAGTTCTTATGAGAAAACCTTTAAATATAGCTGTTAAAATATTTGGATCGTGACTTGAATGCGATTTAGTTTGAATGTTAGTGATTGCCTCTTTTCGATATACTTTGTACTCATATTTTCCTAGTGTCTTATTTGTAATGGTTATATCAAGAAAGTTAAGTGTTTTTGTCTCGTTTTTAACTTCAATTGTGTATTGTATTGCAGGATGTTGTTGATTTAAAATATCTTGGAACTGTTTTGCTTGTTCGATGTTAAAAAATCTTGCATGAATGTCATCAACATATCTTAAAAATGATTTTAGATTAAAGTGCAGGATTCATTGTCAAAGCTATTTTAATTGCATTATTTTCATGGAATTGTAGAAAAGACTCCGCGAGAACAACCATGAAAGAAAGCCCGATTGATCCTGAGTTTTCCATGATGTGAATCTCATTGTTCCAATGAAAATAACATTGATATAAGCAAAGTTCTATGAGTTGTTTTATTTCAGGTATACTTAGTTTTGTTAAGTTTTTATATGATAAACTCTTATTTAATTGTTCTAAAAGTATAACGGTGGCTTCTTTTAACGAAATTGACGGGTACAGATTTACAACATCATAAGACACTTGAATATCATTGTTAGCGACACTCCAATTTTCTGCTTTTTTTATAAAGTCAAAAGAGTTTTTTAATCGTATCGGATTTTCATTTAAGACTGGCTGTATTGTTTTAACTAAGAACTCTGATATTCCGTGGTTTGGTGTGCCAATGATAGAAATAATTATTCTCATAGGGTACGACTTTTCTGGTTTATGAGCTTTTACTACTCCATACAATCGAGGTGGGATAGGATCACTTGGATACATTTTTTCGTATTCCTCTTTAGAAAAACGCTGTTTTTAATTTAGTTTTCAAAGAAATCTTCTAATTTTTGCCGCGTAACTGGCAGTAGGGTCTTCACTAATAATTTTTGTCGGACCAATTTGTTCACGGATTTTTTCTAAAGTTTTAGAATGTTCAATTCTTACAAAACCTGTTCCTTTGTCAAACGGGTATATAGCAATGGTTTTATCGTTTTTTATTTCTCTAAAAGATATCCTCTGTTCTTTTGTCAGGTTGTTATTTTTTTTTTCTCTGTTTTTAATATTCTTAAAACATTTTTCCTTAAATCTTGTGCGTTTTCTACTTTGTTGTTGTATTCTAATTTTAACGCAGAAGACTCTGTTGTTGTTATAATATCCATGTATGGTATCGACTTTAAAGATGGTACAAAATTTGGACCAAGGTTTAGAAAATCATTGTGACTTATGGAAATATCGGTATCGAAAAGGTTTAAAACTGCGCCCTTTTTAAATTTTTTTGTTTTTCTCGCAATATCTTTTTCATTTGCATGTTTTCTTTGAAGTATGTTAAACTTTTTTATTAACCGTTCTTTTGATTTAATAAACATGCTTTCCCTTGATTTTGTAGTAACTTGTTCTAATTTAATATAATCTTCTTCATTACGTTTACCTTTAAGAATGTTTTGGAGTTTTTTAACATCATTCATAAGATTAAAGAATCGTTTCTTCGAATCGTTTTTTATGCAAATTAATATACATAAAACGACTTACGGGTGAGCCAACACCGCGCCAGAGGTCTACACAGAACACAAATATACATAAAACGACTTACGGATGAGCCAATACCGCGCAAGAGGTTTACACAGAACACAATTATACATATAACAACTTACATTTGAGCTATTAAGTCAAGGTATTAAAATTAGCGCTGCATATTTCTTTATTAGTCAAACTTTTAATTAAACATCAGTAACTAATAATCTAATAAATCCTTTGAAACGGAATTGTTATACTTTTAGAATTTTATACTTTTAGAAAAGAATCGTTATACTTTTAGAACAATTAAATAAGAGTTTATCGATGAAAAGCTATTGGTACGATGAAAAGCTATTGAGGAATATTACACACCAATTTCATCAAAAAAGACAAAATAAAAACACAATTCCATCAGAATACAATAATCTTCCTGTAGTGTCTTTACCATGGGTACCAGGCGTTTCACCAAAACTTCGAAAAATATTCCGAAAAGCAGGGTACAGAGCAGTATTTAAATCAAATCCAAATTTAAGATCTTTATTAACATCAAAAAACAAATCAAAACTACCAAGTGACAGCCACCCTGGAACCTATATAATAAAATGCAACTGCTCCAAGGTCTACATAGGTGAAACAAAAATGCAGGTAAATACGCGAATGCATCAACATCAGTAGAGCATTAATGAAAACAAACCTAATCAATCTGCATTAGCATATCATAAAACCTTTTGCAAAGAAAATATAATTTGGGAAAAAACAAGAACATTAAAAGTAGAAAATAAAAAGTTTGAAAGAAAAATTAGAGAGCCACTAGAAATACAAAACAACATGTGCTCTGCACGAAACGGCGGAATTAATCTTGATGAAGGCCAATATGTAAAAACTATGTTTTGGACGCCATTTTTAAAATTTAAAAATCAAAAGAATATATATATATATATATATATATATATATATATATATATATATATATATATATATATATATATACATACATATATATATATATATATATTTATATATATATATATATATATATATATATATATATATATATATATATATATATATATATATATATATATATATATATATATATATATGTATATATATATATATATATATACATACATATATATATATATATATATATTTATATATATATATATATATATATATATATATATATATATATATATATATATATATATATATATATATATATATATATATATATATATATATATATATATACAACTTAGTATATAAAACATATTATACTCACAAGAGATATATACTTTACGGAAAAAACACATAAACCTCTTGTTCTATACTGTGTTTAACGGGTGATAACTAAAAAATGGGAACAATTTTAATCCTCTTAAAACCCCAAAAGTCAAAAAAAAAGAAGAAAAGTACTACTATGTGAAACTCTCTCTGTTTACAAACTTATGTTTTTTTTGCATCAGCTAATATTCAGTTGTTTTAAATGCCGTCAAATCGAGATGTACTTCGCGAGCGCATTATTAAGTTCTATCAAATGCACAAAAATCTAGGAAAACAATTACTGTGAATCAATTTAAAACTGAAAAAAATCCAGTTTCAACTATTTACCGTATTATGGCATCCTTAACAACTAATCGTAAAAATGGCAATGGAAGACCAGCTAAAATAATGAACAAGAAGGGACTTCGTTTGCTTTACAGTGCTTTCAACAACAATGATTCAATAAGTCAACGAGATGCAGCAAAAAAGTTCAAGTGTGTGCAGCCTTATATCTGCTAATCGTTGAAAAAACAAGGAATAGACTGCCGAAAAAAACAAGAGCAACGGAATACACTGAGCAACAAATATCAACCGTGAAATCTCAATGCCGCTGGATGACAAAATTACTCTGGAAATTTTTTTGTTTTGGATGACAAAAGTTACTTTACACTCTCCAAAACGCAAGTTTCAGGAACTGATCGATATTATGCAGATAGGAGTTCTTCAACAAAAGTAAAATACAAATATAAACACAAGTTTGAGCAGAAAGTGATGATGTGCAATGCCATATCAAAGAAAGGAATTCCCAAGCAATTGTTTAAGCCAAGTGGTTTGGCTATTATTTAAGAATTATACCAAAATCAATGTTTAAAGAAAAAATTTATTCCATTTCTACGAAAATATCGTTCAGATGGCAAATACTTGATTTGACTAGATAAAGCATCATCGCCAAAAAAAAACACAAGTCTTTTTAAAAAGCCAAAACATCCCATATACAATAAACCGCAATCCTGCAAAATTGCCTCAGTGTCGCCCAAGAGAGAATTTTTTTGGATATTTGAGTTTGTTAGTATACAAAAACAACTAGAAACCTAAGAATTGCAAACAATTGATTACCCGAATCAAAAGATGTTTTCGTTAAATCGATATAAATGCTGTACAATGCTCCTGTACCAACATCATGACAAAACTACGTCGAGCTGCTGATGATAAACCATATTCGAATGTTTATTAATTTTTCTTAAAGATAAGTGATGTACCTTCTATTAAAATAAATATAATTTTTATTTTCTAAACATTTGTTTTTATTACAGACCGAAATGAAAATTCTAATTTTTTAATTATCACCCGTTACAAGGTTCCTAATATATAAAAAAATTCACTTCAGGTAATCCACTGATTTAAAGTGATAGCCCTCTATTATCAATAATATGGATTTCTTCGAAAATGAAGGACACAAGTATCTTAAAAAAGAGAATTGGCCATTATGTGGTGGACGATCATCAGAATCTATAAAATGCACCCATACCTCTGTCAGTGAAGTTTGCAACGTTATAAGCAACTTTATTGAAAAGGTAAAAACACTTGAAGAAGAGAATAAAAAACTTAAGTCCTTCTGCATCAATACTTTACGATCACAACTAAATCATAATAAAAACTCCAGTCTTTCAAATAAACCTGGCTCATCTGCAAATGCTGCATTAATCAAAGCAGTTAAAATAGATAGCAAGTAACAAGAAATCAAAGTAAAAAATCTTGTATTAGTTGGGGTCGCAGAATCAAAGAAAATAAATACTAATAAAATTGCAGATGATGATACTGATCAAGTAAAACTAATCATAAGTCGTTAAATAAAAATCTTAAAATACTTAATAAACAAACATACTTCAACACCTTACTCAAAGAACGAAAAGAAGCATAAAATAAACTTGAAAAAATTGGCAAACTGAGCTCGCTCTTTTCTTATATCATTCGCCGTGGAAGGGTCCGCTGCGTTGATGTCATCATGACCCTTCTCAATAATAGCCATAGTAAACACCCCTTTGTCGACAAAGAAGCGAAGCAAACACTCAAAATTGCATCAGCAAAAGTCTCAACTTCAAACGCTAACATTTAGTTCTCTAAACCAACAACAAAAACAGTCTCAACTAAATGATAACAATTTATTTTATAAGCAACTTAAATGCATGCATACCAACTCTACCTCCTTAAGCAGAGTCAAGTTCTATGAACTACAATTGTAAGTCGAAATTGAAAAGCCGCATATCATATTTATAACTGAAACATGGTTTCGTGATGGTTTCATTTGCAATCTCGACGGATTGTGTATAGATAAATGGTAGCAAAACTAGTCCTGGTAAAAAAATTTATTGACATGCTTAATGATGAAGCACTTTCACAAGCAATTACTTTTCAAACTTTTCTTAACGCTAATACCTCATTTAATAACACTTTAAATTATATAATATCCAAATCTTCTGAGAGAGTCAGTGATCTAGTCAACTCCACTTGGCTCATCAAAGCAAAGAAAACACAGTTATTTCTTGGAACTATAACCTAGTAAATACTAGGTTATACATGATCGAGGTAAATATACCCTTATCTCTGAAACCATTAAAACTGTTGATTGGAAAGATTTGTTATCCAATAAGTCTATCAATCAATGCTACTCAATATTCTTAGACCAATATAAAAATTATGTGATTCCTTTTTAAGTAAAAAATCCTATCTAATTAATAAAAGACATCCGTGGATAAACAACAGTCTTCTCTGCCAAATTAAATATAAAAACAAACTCTGGCACCGTTTTATATCATCATGTAGAAAATGCCAATCGCTTTACAGAGAATATAACACTACAAAGAATGTCCTTAAAATACAAACAAAGATATGTATTTGAACATTTTAACATTCATTTGCTACCAACAATAAGAATCCAAAACGCCTGTATGCATACCTCAACAGAAAAAAAACTGTTAAAAATCACATCTCAACAATCTTAGATAATGCTACAAAATAAAGTATTACAAATAAAACCGAAATTGCGAACAAACTTAAAAAGCAATTTAGTTTAGTATTTGTACAAGAAAATTAAAATGATCCACTTCCAAGCTTTAACTTTTGCACCAATCCTGTTCTTTCAAATCTTATAATTACACCAGCTACCGTTGAAAATATTTTACTTACTTTAGATACTAGCAAATCAATTGGAATGGACGGAGTTCATTTATGTGTATTAAAAGAATGTGCTTCCGCTTGGTCCTTACCACTTGCACTTCTGTTTTAACTACCACTTGATTCTGGTACTATTTCTAATAAATGGTTTTGTGCCAACATTACACCACTTTTTAAAAAAAGAAATAAAACAGATCCAGTCAATCACAAACCGATCTCTCCAACATCAGTGACATGCAAGGCAATGGAACGCATCATAAAAAGTGTTATAATAAATCATCTATATGCAAATAAACTAATACATCCAAGTCAACATGGTTTTGTTAAAAACAAAGCTTGCTTACCAAATCTCCAAGAAACACTTGATTTGGCAACTGAATCAGTTGCAAAATCAAAACTATATTAGCTGCAAAATCTTGTCGATATAATCTTCCTTGACTTTGAAAAAGCTTTTGACAAAGTCCTTCAAAAAATACCTTTAGATAAAGTATTCCAAAAGTGAATTCAAGGCAAAATTCACAAATAATTAAACTCGTTTCTATCTAACCGAATACAACGTGTTGTTTCTGGTGAATCGATTTCAGAATGGGCTGATGATGTAAGTGGAGTTTCACAAGGCTTATATCTTGGCCCATGATTTAGACAATGTTATTAACTGGACTATTAATTAGCTAATGCGTCTTAATATAGATAAATGTAAAGTTATACATGTAGGTAAAAAACAATTCTATGTCAAACTACACTCTTTCCAATTACAATACTATGAGACTTAACCCTGCAAAAACTACCTGCGAACAACATCTTGGTGTTTTAATATCATACAATCTCAAACTTTCAGCACAAGCATGTAAAGCTGTATTATCAGCCTAGACATCACTTTTTTACTAATTGTATTGTGTCTAAATGGAATGAACTCCCCAAGTAGATCACGAATGCTAAGATGTAAAGTTGTTCAAGATATTGCTTGACAATATGGACAATTAATCAGCAAATCTGCCACATGACGTGATGTATTGACGTACTCCGCACTATTTAGCCCTTGTTTATATGTGCTGCAGATTTTCATACTACCACTACCACTACCACAACTACTACCACTACAACTACAACTACTACAACTACTACTACTACTACTACTACTACTACTACTACTACTACTACTACTACTACTACTACTACTACTACTACTACTACTACTACTACTACTACTACTACTACTACTACTACTACTACTACTACTACTACTACTACTACTACTACTACTACTACTACTACTACTACTACTACTACTACTACTACTACTACTACTACTACTACTACTACTACTACTACTACTACTACTACTACTACTACTACTACTACTACTACTACTACTACTACTACTACTACTACTACTACTACTACTACTACTACTACTACTACTACTACTACTACTACTACTACTACTACTACTACTACTACTACTACTACTACTACTACTACTACTACTACTACTACTACTACTACTACTACTACTACTACTACTACTACTACTACTACTACTACTACTACTACTACTACTACTACTACTACTACTACTACTACTACTACTACTACTACTACTACTACTACTACTACTACTACTACTACTACTACTACTACTACTACTACTACTACTACTACTACTACTACTACTACTACTACTACTACTACTACTACTACTACTACTACTACTACTACTACTACTACTACTACTACTACTACTACTACTACTACTACTACTACTACACTTTCTTTGTTGATTTTTGATGTTTTATATTTAGTTTTTTAGTTTTATGTTTTGATATTTTATATTTAGTTAGAAACAACTTTTCTCTTTTACCACCAATGTTTATTAAATAAAAAGGCAGACTTTTAAAAATGTTAAAATTACGTCCATGTTTTTATCACTTTACGTGTAACCAGCGTAAAGTGATAAAAACATGGACGGCAAAATAAAGCACATGTAAATATATTTTTACTTGCCCTTATATACCTTGGAAAAAAATCATTAAACAAAAGTTTGCTGAGATTAAAAGTAACCATTTTTAACCATTAAACCGCGCTTAACTTACAAATTATAATTTAAAGACTAGAAAAAAACCGCTCCGCATCTAGTGTTGTTTTGTTATACTTATTAACTAACCGGTGTTTAATAAAACTCACTACAATAATTAATATTATACTATGTTACTACAGAGGCAGCCAGAATATTATTTCACTTTTAAAAAGTCTATTTATCGTAGAAATTTATAATAAATAAAAAACTGGCTGCCTCTGTAGTAACATGGTCTAATCTATCAATCTTTACGGACAGACAAAAACAATGATCCCAACGTTTCGTTTTTTTTTTCTTAGTTTTTAACTTACAAAATGTATCATTTATTTGTTAATATGAAATAAATATCTAAAAAATAGGTAGTTTCAAAAAATAACAGCAGCAAAGACATTACAAAAAAAAATACAATGAAAGTAATTTAGATATAAAGTAAACGTAAATTTTGTCTAATTAAGTGCCAGCAGACAATTTATAAATTTATTTTTGAGGAATCAGCAGTAAGTTTTGTCTAATTAAGTGCCAGGTGACTTAATTTTTATAAAAAAAATAGTTAAAATGTGAATAGGATAAAAATTGTAAAATTAAGATTATTGATTTGGTAAAAAATACAATAATTGAAAACTTCAAAATTTTTCAGAAATAACTAGAAACTTAAATAAATAATAATTAAACATGGTAATCTTTTTGTTAATAATTAATCTGAACAGTATACCTAAATAGGTGAAAATCAATTATTTTGGTTGTTTATTTTTGTAATTAGAGGAGTTTGTAATTTAATTCAATAATGCGCAAAATACCTTACCTTTTCTGAAAACACAAGTGTTGTATTCAGCTTGCCTTCAGCTTTAACTTATAGTTAAAGCATAATTCTTAAAAGAATGAAGTCAAATAAAATGGCCTTTATGAAAAGGGATATTATGTACTACAATAAATATTATAATATAAATTTATATTTGGATAATCAATCTAAAGTGATTTTAAAGGGAATCTAATAGTAATTAAAAATATTTTAATGAATAAGTGCAAATATGAATACAAGTAGTCCGTCGCTTAATCATAAAAGATAGGAAAAGAGTAGGAAAATAGTGGGCTATAGTAACATAGTGGAAAAGGAAAATGTGATTTATAATCCAGTCATGAATGATTTTTCTTTTCTATTTTAATAATTTTAGGGTGTTTGATGTGTATTATTTCTTTAAATCCTATTCATTCTGTTTTTTGGTTAGTAACTGTATTTTTTGGTTAGTAACTCTGTTTTTTGGTTAGTAACTGTGTTTTTTGGTTAGTAACTGTGTTTTTTGGTTAGTAGCTGTGTTTTTTGGTTAGTAACTGTGTTTTTTGGTTAGTAACTGTGTTTTTTTTCTCTTGTTTTATTAATTAATCTAGATTTAGAATTTTTATCATTTTTATTAATAATAATATATGTAGGAGACATATATTATTATTAATAAAAACATTTTGTTTTTATTTGTATTAATGATGTTAGATATAATTCAAATAAAAAACAAATCCAACATTAACAATATAATTCCTATATATTTATATATTTTAACTTCGTTGATAATAAAAATTATTAATAAAGATGTATTTCTACCTTAATATTTAAACTATGATTTTTTAAGCTTTAATTTAATAAATAACTTTTATTTTTATATTAATAATTAATGTATTAATATATTATATATTAATATATTAATATTTAATATAATAATAAAATTATATTAATAATAAAATATTAAATAATTATTTAGCTTTATTTTTTTATTCTAAGTATTCTATAAATTTTGAATTAACAAGCATTATTTTATCAATCACTGCTCCCAGATAGAGGGTTTGGGTTGAAGATGAAGGTGCCTGGGATTTTTTTGGGAGAAATACCAGAAACACATACTCGAATAAGATTAGCCAAAAATTAAAATTGTACCGGCTTCTGAAACTAAATTTCATGTTTTTCTGTTTTTTTATTGGTAACTAATTATGTACCGAAACTTTGTTGTCTATGGCATTACAGATGGTCTAATAAATTAAAATATAACGAGAGTACATTTATTTTTTAGAATTAAATATCTTATATATATTTACATTTATGTAAACTTATATATTTAAAATTTAAAATCTGTGTGTAAAGTATATCATGTATTTTAGCAGGAAAAAATTAAATTAAAAAAAAAAAAAGAAAATAAATTGGAAAAGAAATCAATAAAGATATAATTTGTTTTGGATGTTGCAACAAGAACAAACCATGTATACTCCTACAAAATCCAGCTCAAGTTGCTTTAAAAAATCTAGTAAGGAAGCATATAGATAAATGTTTTGATGTTAAAGTGAACTCCTTTCGTATTAGAATGTGTCCGAAGTGCAAGACTGCAATTTATAAGAAAGATGTATTTATATTCTTTTGTTTGTTTTTTTTAATCTTAAATCTGTCACTATTTATAAAAATAGTTTTAGTTTCTCAAATGCAAGATATATAAAAAATTTTACAGAAAAGAAAAAGTGTTAAAAGTGCAGAAATCTCCTGGCAAAGAGGAAGAGTTACTATTTCAATGCTTAAATGCTTAGCAGAATACAAGTGGTGACTGAATTATGTCAATGTCCGATCTGTAGTTTGGCAAAGGACACTAGAAGTAACCTAGAGATGAACTTAATAGATTTCATTGACCCCATCTCACCACAGGAAAAAAATGTAGTCAAAATTTAATTTTGACCCCATCTCACCACAGGGAAAAAAGAGTAGTCCAAATTCAAGTTCTTATACTGATGCCTCAATGTATGGAAATTGTTTTCAATATATAGGAAGAGGTATTGACCCCCCTGCAATAAAAAATCAACTGCTAAAAAATTAGAAAAATTATTATGTCAAAAGATTTTAAATTGTCTGAACAGGTAACATCAAAAATTCTAAAAACAATTATTGGGGATGAAAAACCGGGTAAGGTTTAACTATCAACATGTGAAGCATCATTACATGTACACCTTGGAGAGATTATCTCTCCAAAAAAGATTAGTTTAGACACAGTATTTATTATCAAAAAATTACATGATTTGCCTGAATGTGCTATTAAAAGTATGTTGACTGAAATAAAAAAAAAAGGTTGGTCGATCAGGATTTGAAACCAATGCGGAGATTTGGGTGAATAAAAAGTTCCATTCACTAAATCAGTTTTATTGCGTTTAGCAATTGACATTTCAGCAAGGTGCTAACCATACAGAGGTTCAAACAGATTTAGTATCTGTGGAGGATATACATATGCTTGTTGCTGAAATATGCAATCAAAAATATATCGTTCTCCAAGAATCAATTGTGAGAATTGCTATGGATGGCGGCCAAGGGTCAATTAAAGTTGTTATGAACCTTTTTTAATCAGAAAAATTTGAGGATCAATAGAGGAACCAAAAGGACTCGGGTGTAAACAAAGTTATTTTATTGGCAATTTTCCAACATGTTGAAGAAAGCAATTACAATTTAGCCCAAATTGTCTACTTTCTCAAACTTCGTGAATGAAGTTACTTTCTTGCATCAGATCTTAAGCTTATCAATAAGCTTAAGATCTATCTTAAGCTTATCAATATCGTGCTAGGATTATCTGCTCATGGTGGAAAATATGCATGCGCTTATTGTATTGGTGCAAAAAACAAATTAGGAGAATTAAGAACCTTTGGTCGTTTATCCCATTAGTATCAGCGATTTTTTGGTGTAGGAAAACCACACAAGTTGATGCAGAACTTTTTTAATGTCATCAACATATGTCTTTTCGATGAGAGCCCGGGCAGCCTGGTATTGGATGTTATACCTCCACCAGAACTGCATCTCTATGAGGATGTTATCACACTGGTGTCAAGAGTACTACTTTCAAATAAGACTTATAAGAAAAAACTGTTACTCAGCATGGTTACCATGTTGGAGGACTAGATAGGTCTAATTGTTAAAAAATTCTAAGTTCATTAGATGAGATAATAACTGTAGCGCCGCTGAAATACCACGAGCGTATTAACACAATAAAAAAATTTAAAGCAGGTAAATATTGTTTTAAAAATATTATTAATATACTTGAAGATATTAATAAACTGTATCATTTTATTTGTAGTGGCTGAGAGTTGTTTTGGAATGACATTAGATCCGTTTAATGGTTATAAAATTAAAGCTTTCATCGATTACATGGACTACATGAATAATTATATTGAAGAAAGGTTTAATATCAGTATGTCACTCGGATGGAAATACCATATCATTAAATATCACTTGAAAGATTGTTTGGAACGCCATCAGATGTCTCTCGGTCTGACATCAGAACAAACCTTAGAAGCTGTTCACAAGAACATTAATAAGACATCAAAAGGTTTAGAGTCTCGGAAAGTAATCCTTCTCATGGAATAGAATGAGAAGAATGGTTGAAACATACAGCTCAATGAGAGTATAAAGGTTATGAATTGGATATCAGTTGGTTAAGATTAAAAACTTGTATATATATAAACTCCTAAAATTTTCTCATGAATGTCCTTTTAATCTCTTTTTTTTAAAATTCATGATTGAGATATGAGATATTTAGTTAAGACAACTATAATAGTATTTTTTAAACTATTAAAAATGTTTGTAGCTATTGTTTGAATTTAGAATTAAAAAAAAAAAGTTTTTCTTATCATTTTAAACTTAATAT